CTGAGCGGGACCCCGGGACACAGGGCGGGCGAGAGAGCGGGTCTCGGTGCACCGGGAGCTCACAGACCCGTAAAGACAAACCATTGCCATCAGGGCAGTAGATGCCTTGATAGATGAAAGGCAGGGTTTGGGGGCCGGGAGAGCCCCAGCTCGTCTCCCGGGGGTGGGGGAAGGCTGGGTGCGGGGGGGAGTCGGGGAGGCCCCGCAGAGGAAGCGGAGAGAAGGTAGGAGTGGCCGGGGAAGAGCAGTAAGGAGAGGCCCACGCAGGAAACCGCAGCGCAGGGCCGGGTTTGAGGAACTGAAAGGATTCGTATGACTGGTCCTGGGGAAGAAGAACCCGAACCCTCCTCCTTGTGCCCGCACCACAACCCCATCTGTGTGCCTGGCCGCCTCCTCGCCAGCTGTGAGCTCCCTGGGGACAGAGACCTTGTCTCAGATATTTTTGGAATAAATATAAATAAACGGGGCTGTGGGGGTGTGTGGAGGAAGGAGGGGCTGAGGCTTAAGGGGTCACTTTGAGAGACTAGAACCTGGGGGGACTTTGTGAGGGAGGAAGATTTTAGGAATATGGAAAAAGAGAGCATCCCAAAGACCTAGGGGTGCAGGTGTGGGGAGGGAGAGAGAGAGAGAGAGAGAGAGAGAGAGGTGCTAGCACATGAAGCAGAGATCCGGGCCCACCTTTTCTTCCTCCCCTCCATTCTCCTTCCCACCTCCCAAACCCCAGGCCACCCAGAAAGTTGGCTATGAATCTGTTTCATCCCAATTCACAGCCTCCTGCAGGCCAGATGTCCCCTAAGCACTGGGAGGTGGGGGGCCGGAAGGGTGTAGAACACATAATCCTTCCCTTTGAGGGATGAAAGGTGAGATGCTTCCGAGCTGGGCCGACGTCACGGGCCGTCTCCCGGGATGCAGTCCAGCCTGTGCCTTCTCCCTCTCTCCCTTGAACAGACAGAGGGCTGCATGCTTTCCATTCCCTCTTCCTCCAGTGCTGACCGGGACCCTTTGGGGGTTTCGCTTCCTCTCCTCTGTTCACTATTTTATTCTGATACCAAAGAGGCCCGACTGTCTCTCATATTATTCTCAGAAGCTCACATTTCTTTTCCTTAGAGGCATTCACAGACTCATAGAAGCGTAGGGCTGGCAAGGATCTTAGAGATCATTCTAGCGCAACCTTATTTTGTAGGTAACTGATAAAGATTCCTTGAAAAGATTTTTAGTCACAGGAAGGCTTGGCAAACTCCAACCCTTAGGCTCTTAATAGTGTATTTACTTTTATCATTTTGTTATTAAATGCTGACCGTGTCTGGCCCACAAAGCCTGCCTCCTGGCTTAGTAGCCTGAGTGGAACAGGCCTTGGCACAGAGAAAGGAGAACTTGCCCAGGAGTGTCTGGGGTGGGTGCCGTCAGTCTCCCCCAAGTCTGGATCCCCAGAGGGGGTCTTGAAGAGGTAAAGTTTGGAAGAGTTGAGAAGCAAGGTTTTGGCCGATGCGTACGAGAGAGGTAGGTTGATGGGTTCCATCCTTCTGGGCCTGGAACACTACATGCTGAGTGCGTCGGAGAAGGGGGCAGAGGAGCCAGAAAAATGATGATCTTGCACGAAGTACAGGACAGCAGGGGGAAGGAGCCCGGATGGTCCTGGATGGAGAGCCAGGGAAGTGAGTCGCCCTCAGTTCATTGCGGACTCTGAGATCACCAGCTTCTATGTTGGAATTTTCGTGTGTCCCAGTTCTCCAAGCCATCTAGTAATGTACATGTTACAGTTCCACCAAGCAAGCCTCCAGGGATGCATTTGTTTTGGTGGCAATTGGTTCTCTACCCAACTCTCCCTCAGTGTTATAACAATGCTGATGGCTTGCTTGTAGCCTTCAGACCCTGTTCTACTCAGAGGCATCAGAAGCTGCTCAACCACAAACACAGTCTCCCTCAGCAATACCTATCATGCATCCAACACATACAGAGTCCCAGACTAGAGGAACACAGAACAAATCCAGGACACGCACTCACTCTGGGTACTCCTGTGGTCTGATTAGAGAGACACGTGAAATGACCAAAGGCCCTCAGTGAGAGCATGGATCCTGCACAGTCCTGGGATGAAACCAAGAGCAGGTGGGGATTTGGGGGGGGGGGGGGGGGGGCTCAGTTGGTTGGAGTGTCGTCCGCACACTGAAAGGTGGCGGGTTCGATTCCTAGTCAGGGCACATCCCTAGGTTGTGGGTTCGATTCCCGGTCAGGGTCGGTATGGGAGACAAGCAATGGATGGTTCTCTCCCACATCCATGTGTTTCTCTCTCTCTCTCTCTCTCTCTCTCTCTCTCTCTCTCTCGCTCTCTATCTCCCCTTCCTCTCTGGGTGAGGACTAAAAAAAAGAAAGAGCAGGTGGGAATGGTACAGAAAAGGATTCCTGGGGGAGGAGACTTATGGTGAAGTTGGGAGAATGGGTAGAAAATCCCCAAGGCGCTGGAGGGCAATAAGCACTTCCTAAGGCTTAAGGCACTTCACGCCTCAGTGGTATCCTTCCTTGTCAGTGAGAATTATTTGTTTATACTTCTTCCTGCTCCATTAGCCTGAGTCCCTGGAAGGGAGGAAGCAACAGAAATAAGGTCTCTGGAGGGGACCGAGCAAAGTTAACTTTGCGGGAATAGAGAGCTGGTGTTGCACAACATATGAAATCCAGCAGTAAAACAGTCATAGGAGACATGTAGGGGACAACTGGGGAAATTTGAATATGGACAAAGTATCAGATGACCTCGGAATTACTGTCAATTTTCCGAGTAATCAAAATTGTTCTGCGGTTAGGTAGGAGCAGGTCCTTTCTCTCAGGAGATGCGTGATCACATATTTAGGGGTGAGAGATGGTGATGTCTGCAACTTACTTTCAAAATGGCTTAGCAAAGACAATGTATGCAACAAAAACACAATGTATACAGGTGTGGGCAAAACTAGGCTCACAGTTGTGAGCATGCAAAAACAGTTTATTCTTGTATTATTTATTTATTGTATTATTTCTGTGACACAACTGTACACCTACTTTTGCTCACTCCTTTCAAAATTAAATGATATTTTAATGATATTTTATCACATTGTTTCATGTTATGTATTGGAGAGAGCCGCTGGTAAATCATGAACCACTGTTGAATATGAACGGAAGGCATATGTTCATGGTACTCTTTCGGCTTTTCTATATGTTTGAAAATTTTAAAACTAAAATGATTGCGGGGGGGCAGAGGAGCTGGGAGGAATGAAGTCAGTGGGATAAGGGCCAAGAGTGGACACGGGGCAGTGCCAACGCCTTCTCTGCCCCAGCCGGACTCACCCAGGCTGGGAGAGGCATTGACTTGAGTTTTTCTTGCTGGGAGCGGGCTCCCAAAGGACACGTGTACTCAGCCGGCTGTGCTGTGTCTCCCTCTCCCAGTGTGCAAATACGTCGCCGTGGAGCTGAAGTCAGCCTTTGAGGAAACTGGCAAGACCAAGGAGGTCCTTGACACAGGCTACGGCATCCTGGACCGGAAGGCCTCCGGAGTCAAGTACACCAAGTCGTAAGTGAATGGGACCCCTGGCCTGGCCGGCTTTGTCCCCAGGCTTCAGCAGCCTGGAGTTCCCTCCCCCCCTTCTAGCCGGGCAGACCCACCAGAGGGAGGCAGCTCTAACTGAGACCTAAATTCGCCCACTGGTTCTACGCCCCAACTAATTGGGTGGCTTTCCTAAATCCCTTAACTGCTCTGGCTTCACATTCCTCATCTGTAAAAGCTAGACTGTCATTCCCAGACTCTTGGATTTCATGGACCAATGCAATTTAAAAAATATTGGTAACACAAGATTACCAACATTTAATTTTGCCAGGTATAAATATCAAAAACAAGCCAAAAAAAAAAAGCATAAAACTTCCATCAGCTATGATCTTCCTTTCAAAATTAAATATATATTTTTATTGAATTTTTACAGAGAGATAGAGAGTTAGAAACATTGATGTGAGAAACTTCGATCAGCTGCCTCCTGCACACCCCCTACTGGGGATGTGCCTGCAACCAAGTTACATGCCCTTGACCGGAATCGAACCTGAGACCCTTCAGTCTGCAGGCCGACGCTCTATCCACTGAGCCAAACCGGTTAGGGCCTCCTTTCAAAATTAAATGATATTTTAACATCAAAATGTTTTACATTTTGCTTTATTTAAAAAAAACCTACAGCATCATTGAGCTTTATAAAAAAACAAAAATTCCTTCCCGTAGAGCTGTTAAAGTTTTGTCTCTCTGGTCTGTGTTCCAGCATTTCAGAGCACCCAGACCAGATGACCTATCTCCCTTCCAGCTCTGACTTCCCGTTGGTGAGATGCGCAGGCGTTGGGGTAGCAGGGCTGGCGGGACGGACCACTGACCCACTGGGGCTGGGAGGGGGGCTCAGCCCCTCTCGTGCTGCTGTCTCCACAGGGACTTACGCTTAATCGAAGTCACCGAGACCATTTGCAAGAGGCTCCTGGACTACAGCCTGCACAAGGAGCGGACCGGCAGCAACCGGTTTGCCAAGGTGGGACTGTGCTTGTCCTTGTTCCTTGCTGGGGTGGGGCCTGCATGTGGCTGAGTGTCTGCTGGGGTGGGTGTCATTTGAAGAGCCTGCCCTGGAGCTTCCCCCCGTGGCCTCTTCCCATTCTTGTGGATTGCTGTTTGCTCTCCTCCTGTCCTGGGTGGCCTGACTTTTCCTGGGCAATAGGCACGTTCATGATGGCGGGGCCTGCCCGTCAGGGTCCGGCCTCAGTCCAGGCTGGCGGAAATGCTCCAGAGTGCAGCCCCCGGGGGGCCTAAAGCCCTAGTGCAGGGGGAAGTCGGGAAATCAGGGTTCAGAGAAGAGCCCAGAGACTCTTGATGGTGACTACCCTGGCCTCCTCTGGGACCACGGGGCACATCCCTCAGCCTCCATCCGGTGCCTCTGTGACACCTAAGGCACTTACTACACCACCAATGCTTCTCCCCCGGAGAAGGAGGTTTTTACAACAAGGCCCACATTTCTTTGTCTACATCTTCAGCGCCTGGCACATAGCTTCACCAAAGTCCCCTCCTAGCAAAGGAGATCAGCGTGAATTTGGCCCTGGCTGGTGTGGCACAGGTGGTGGGGCGTCGTCCCGTCCACCAAAGGGTCTTGGGTTGATTCCCACTCAGGGCACATGCCCAAGTTGCAGGCTCTCCCCCTCCCCCGCCCCGTGGAGGGTATGCAGGAGACAGCCTATCGATGTTGTGCTCTCACTTTGATGTTTCTCTCCCTTCCTCTCTCAAAATCAATAAACTATTTAAAAATAAAATAAAATTTGTATGAATTTTGTACCCTAGTTGAGAATACATTCATGTTTGCTTTACTGTAAGAATGTTAAAAGTTATTTTTCATAACAAGAAAATTAGAAACCTAACCATCCATCAGACAGGGCGTGGCTAAATAGATTGATTCAGTGGCCTGTTATACAACTGAAAAACAAAGGATGAGGTGGCTCTGCAAGGACTGAGCTAAAATCTTCTCCAACGTGTGTCACTAAATAAAAAAGGCAGAATAGTGTGCGAGATAGACATTACGGCTGTGTAAAAAGTGTGGGTGGGGTGAGGAGGAGGTATTTGTATGTCTGTTTGCATGTTTGTGTGCATTATCTCTGGGAAGGCAGTTTGCTGTCTCCGGGGAGAAACCTAGGTAGCTGGCAGAAATGGAACAAAGAGTCTTTCCTGCCTTGCCCGTGCCCTCTCCCCAGCGAGGAGAGACACAAGCCCTAGGAAGAACCCCCGCAGGGAGCGGGCCTTGGGGTGGGGAGTGAGTGAGCCCAGCCACAGTGCAGGGGGAGCCAAGGCAAACATATCCTGGAAAAGGAGTGTCCATTCAGAAGGCCTGAGGGCAACAGCAGACCTGCTGGAAAGGATAAGGTGTGCGGAAGCAGGACAGGGCGTGTGCGCACGCGTGCACATATAGGGGTTAAGGGAGGTACACATAAAAGGGGAGAGGAGGGTGAGGTCAAGTGTGAGGAACCTTGGAGGTCTTGGCTCCTCAGAGCTGGTCCTTGGGCCTGTGCAGCCCTGCCCAGGAGGGCAGGAGGCCGGGAAGGGACCCCCTCTCATGTCCGGTCGCCTCTTCCAGGGCATGTCAGAGACTTTTGAGACGCTACACAACCTGGTACACAAAGGGGTCAAGGTGGTGATGGACATCCCCTACGAGCTGTGGAACGAGACCTCTGCAGAGGTGGCGGACCTCAAGAAGCAGGTAGGCCCTTCGGCCCACAGCGGCTGCTGTGCCCCCGGGGGTGGGGATGGCTCTACTGCTGAGGAAGGCCACCAAGAGTCGAGGGACATGGGTCCTCTCACCTCTGGCTGCAGTTTGCTCAGGAGAACCCGGCCACCGCCTGTCTTGTGTGGGCTGAGGCTCCGCTGAGCTCCTCTGAAGGGAACCAGCGCTGGGGCCTTGCCAACGCGAGGGTTGTGATTAACAGTGCGACGTGCTGGTGGAGGAGTTTGAGGAGGTGATCGAGGACTGGTACCGGAACCACCAGGAGCAGGACCTGACGCAGTTCCTCTGCGCCAACCACGTGCTGAAGGGCAAGGACACCAGTGAGTCTGAGGGAGGGAGGAGGCAGGGCGGTTGGCCCTCGGTTTCATTGTTTGCTCCCCCTCAGGGGAGGTAGGCAGGGGGACGGAAAAGAAATAAGAAAGAGGGTGTTGTCCTGCCTGGGTGGCTCGGTTGGCTGGGCATCGTCCCGTATACTGAAAGATGGTGGGTTCAATTCCCTATCAGGGCACACACCCAGGTTCCAGGTTCAATCCCCGGGGTGAGTACAGGAGGCAGCCAATCGATGTCTCTCCCCTTCCCACCCTGAAATCAATTTAAAAAATTAAAACAAATCACTGCCCCCTGGGAGCTTGACGTGACAGGGTGGGTGAGAGGCACCAAGCCAGGTGCAGAACAACAGAGAACTCGGGTGCCCCGGCGGGGCCTGGGCCACAGTGAGGTGGGATAGGGGCCTGGGTGTCAGGCAGCCGTTCCGGCTGCCACTCCCGGCGGCTCCCCAAGCAGGGCTCCTCACCCAGCAAACCGGTCTCTCCTCCTCACTGCAGGTTGCCTAGCAGAGCAGTGGTCCGGCAAGAAGGGGGACACGGCCGCGCTGGGAGGGAAGAAGTCCAAGAAGAAGAGCAGCCGGGCCAAGGCATCCGGTGGCAGCGGCAGCAAACAGAGGAAGGAGCTGGGAGACCCCGGCCCCGAGGAGGACGAGGGCATCCAGCAGGCATCTCCCCTCACACACAGCCCCCCTGATGAGCTTTGAGCCTAACCTGGCAGCCCCTGAACCCAGACTCCTGACGTGGAGGTGGAAGAATCTGGGGCCCGGCTCTGGCAGGCAAATACAGCTCTCCCGGCCCCGGGTCCTCCCGGCCTCGCTGGGTCCTCTTCCTGGCGGGGAGAGGCACAGCTCTGGGAAGAACTGTGATGGCTACGTCAGCCCACGCTGGCCTTTTCCCACTGCCAAGCATTTCTCTCCTGGCAAGGCTTCAGGCAGGCCGTGCGGTGTGGGACTGCGAGAACTCGGTGTGAACTCAGGGCGGCAGGTGTCGCTGGGCCCCAGGACTGGAGCCCTCTGGACCCTGTGGGGCGGGCACGCCTGCCCCCATCGGAAAGCAAGACTGCAGGCCCCACCCCCTCCTTTCTCTCATCCTCCTGTGGACACCTTGTGCTCTGCCTGGCCCTCCCCAGGGTTCACAGAGTAAAAACCTTTTGGCCTTTTTTCTGATTGCTGAGTCACCTTCAGCCCCTCAGAGGGGCCTCGAGCCCCTTGCTGCTCTTTCCTGCCCTTGACCTTCCAGTCCTGGGGGCTGAGGATGGGGAGGGCCTGGGCTATTTTGGGGTAAAGGGCAGGCACGGGGTGAGGCCCAGCACAGTGCCTGGCCCCTCCCTCAGGCCAGGAGGGGCCTCATTTTTGCCCTGAGCACCCGGCTGCCCTCATTCCCACCTCCATGTGGCCCTGCCTGTTGGTCTTGAACCTTGTTCCCTGATTGATCACTCTTGCTCTAGCTGTTGTCCCTGGAGCCTAAGGGGGAGGACACCCCAGTCCCCCGAGGACAGCTGGTTACACCATGTCCTCTGGGAGCAGGGAAGGCTGGCCTCTGGGGGGATGGGGTGGAGGCACTGCCCAGCCTGTCCTGAGGGCAGGGATCGGGAGGTACTGCAGAGCGCTTTGCTTTCCCACCTGTGGACTGGGTGCTGTTAACCCCATCTTGCAGCAAAGGAAACAGGCTCAGGTCAGGGGGCATGCCCCAAGTCCTACTGTTCGGTGTACAGCTGGCACTCAGACCCTGGTTTCCAGACTGCAAGCCCAGCATTGTCTCCACTACCCCACAGCCGCCAGGGCGCCACCCCCAGTGCCTGGCACTGGCAGTGTGATTCACATGGAACTGGTTTGGTTGGGTTTCTTGGCCGTAACCTACCTCCACCAACAAGACTTTTTTAAAAGGAAAATAGGAAGCAGCTGTTGCTTCTTAGAAGGAGAGAATGGTGGGAGGTCCCACCAGCACTGGGCCCCCACCAAGTCCCCTGTGAGCACCCACACCGAGACCCTCACTCCCCTGGGCCGGGCCCTGTGGGCAGGAGGGGATGCACTGCTGAGGTGCCCCAGATTCTTCATCTTCTGGTGAAGAGGCTCTGGGAGTGAGGGGTGCCCTCAGCCTGGGCTCAGCCTCTTCCCCAAGTTGGGGCAGCCAAGGCCATGGAGAGTGGAACAAACTGGGATTTTATTCCCTCTGGTCAGTGAGGCCTTGAAGGATATTTTTGGGTCTGTCCCCCACTGCCCCACCTCCAGGGCTGATCACTGCTCCTGTTAAAAGGGCTGTGGGATTCCAGCGTAGACTCAAGTTCTAGCCTCAACTTTGTTCTGCGCACAGGAAATGGCGGGTTGGGGTTGGGGACTGGAACGCAGGGCTGGAAAACCATTTGCAAACCCCTGGGCTGTCCCTAATCCAAACCCACAACCTTCAGTGCCTGGCTTACGTCTGTCCCCAAAGCTTTATTGATCCTTAGGGTAGGATGAGGCAAAGATGTATCCTCTTACCAGGGTGGTGGCCCAGAGGCCCAATCCCAGGCCAGGCCCCGGGCCAGAGGGCAGACAGCTGACTACTTTGCTCTTCGACCTGTGGCTGCCCCATGAGAGCCCTCTCCTCCCCCTGCCCCCACAGGGCAGGCATGCTGCACACTCACCAGCACTCCAGCAGACAGCTTCTCCCCAGCCCAGCCTGGAAAAGGCAGAAGGCTGCCCTGGCCGAGTAGCTCAGATACACCAAGGTTGCGGGTTTAATACCCAGTCAGGGCACATACCAGAAGCAACCAATGAATGCATAAATAAGTGGAACAACAAATTGGTGTTTTTCTCTCTTCCTTCCTCTCTCTAAAATCTATTTTAAAATGGGGGGGAGGGGGAGTCAGAAAGTAGGCTCCAGCTTCCCAGGTTGTTTTTCCTCTCCCCACCACACATACAAGCCTTTTTGACCTTAAATATTGCCTCCCACTTTCTCACACCCCTTCCCTCCATTAGGTGAAGGGACTGTCTGAGTTCAAGTTAGCCTGATTTCAGCCCCCTGTTAGAATAGGGTTTCCTACACTCACCTGGACGTGAAAGTCACCTGAAATGCTTGTTAAACGTACAGATGTCTGGGCCCACTTCCGATTTGCTGGGTTGAAGACCTAGGAGCCTGCGTGCCGAGGCCAGCTAGACCCACTTTACCAGGAGACTTCCATCATCCAGAATCACAAACGCTGATGGACAAAGCATGAGGCCAGTTTGTTCCAATTCAATGATTAAAGAACCATAGGCCCAACTAGTCCAGTCTCAGGGGTTGGGCCCCAGAAAATGATAGTAAATATACAAACCCATGCATGGCAGCCCCTTATGGAGCCCTTGTGCAGTGCACAACCTACCCAGGTGTTCACAGCAGCTCTACTTCACTTAGTTTGCAAGTGCTAACAAAATTCCTCTTACTTTTTTATGTTAGAAAAAGAAAGCACATTTTTCACGACAGAGGCATGAGCCATGTGTAATCGGTTTACGGAAGAGCTCTGTGAATTAATCCCCGGGGCAGAGCCAGCTGAATCGCTCCTGAACATCCCCCGATGGCCTAGTTTGCTTTAGTAAGGAGTTTCACTGTATTAATAATAGTAGCCACTTTCTGTGAATGCCATGTGGCAAGCACACAGCTCTGCATGCTTCACTTAACTCATTTAATAAAGCTGTGGTCACAAGGCCACACATTTTTTAAACCATTGGAGTAAATTATACATACAGAAAAGTGCACATAAGTGTATACACCTCAGTGAATTTTTAAAAACACCACCCAAGTCACCATTATTACCATCATCCCAGAAACATCACCCACCCCACACACACACACCCCACAAAAAGAACTTTTAAAAACACCACCCAAGTCACCATTATTACCATCACCCCAGAAACATCACCCCCCTACACACACACACACACACACCCCACAAAAAGAAAAAGGATTTTTGTCTATTCCCTGTTGTATCCCAATACTTAGTACAGTGCCTGGCACAGAGTAGATGCTTAATAAATATCTGTTAAATGAAGTGTAGAAAGGTGAAGTAATTTGCCCACGGTCACACATTTAATAAGTGGCCCAACCAGGGTGAGCCCAGGTGGGATGGCTTCAGTGTCCTGGGGCACAGCCATTACACCATAGCACCCTGCAGCTACAGCTTGTTTGCACAGCATCCTCCCCTTATATAGATTTCTTCTAAAAGGCAGACCCGCTGCTCTCTGCTAGTCTGTTTATGTCTTCAGATTTTAATGTTGGGAATGCAAGACCAAGTTAACCTTCAAGTCTTTCTCTCATCAAAGTTTATATTTGTGTATAGCTTAAAGCCAGTTTGATCCTTAAGCTGCCCCCCAGGGCTGGCTTTCCTCTCTTTACAATTTGGGAGGAATCCAGTTTTTTTCATTCTTTCTCTAAAATTGCACCCTCCGTCTTTAAGGCTGTACAGGCCAACAGAACTTAAAATTCCATAAATGATTGTGATTGTGGATAGGGAGGTGTTGCTGCAGAGAAGAAGCAGGCTGACTCCACCACCAGTTTCGGAAGAGGACAACATCTGTCACTACCCTCCGCCCCCAAATATAAAAGGTTTAGTACATCCTGATACGCCAAGGTTGCGGATTCAATCCCTGGTCAGGGCACATACAAGATCAACCAATGAATGCATAAACAAGTGGAACAAATAGATGGGTGTTTTTTTTCCTCTCTAAAAATAAATTAAAAACAAATTTAAAAACAACACAGATGTTATTTTGTTAGGAATTACTTACCAAAGCGGTCTTGGCATTTTACTGTCCGACTCATCGAGATGTGATGGCAGGTGCTGTCACCTGTTTCATGAGCGATGCTTAGCTGTGACCAAAGTTCAAATAGTGGGTCATTTTCATGTGGAAAAACAGCTCAGAGAGCAGATGGGCATATACCTATGAGATATTACTGAGGTTAGCACACCTTAAAACTGCTTTTAACAAACGTGAAATGGTCAAAGAGAACCTCTCTTCATATACATTAATGGAATTCTCAGATGCACAAAGCTTTATAGAATGTAGACACCATTAATTAGTGTACAATCCAATGATACAGGGACCAACTTTACACTCACTTAACAAAACTTTATTAAAGCAGAGTCTTATTTGGTATATTAATAAGTCCAAAAAAGGATCCTTGCAATAAATCTGCCAGCAGAGTCCATGGGGGTGGGTGGCTTCCTGCCCCTCCCACAGTATCCCAGTGTTCAAGCTGGGTAGGCAGTCAGCAGAAAAGTTTTTTCAGCAGCTTGGACTGGAGTTCCGAGTCTATCCTCTGAAAAATGAATTTCTACCAGTTGTGAATTAAAAACAGCCAGGATGTCTTCCACTTGTAGTTACTGTATATACATAATTCACTATTCTAGGATTTTAATGTGTCCTCAAATAGGAATTGACTTGAATTATGTCCAATGGCAGCAATAGTCCCAAAATAAAGTCTTCTGTGTGTGTTCCTTTTATTGGTTCCAGACAATTTTGTAGTGGGAAGGGATGGAGCCAACAGGGGTGGGTGGGTTCCCTCACATGCCCACAACATGGCTAACATCTCAAGGACTGTCCAAGAGACCATGCATTCCTCCAGAGATGATACAGCCTTACACTTGGTACCAGGTGGGAAATAGCATGAGCTTTGGACCTAGAGGTCCGACCGGAAGGGCTGGTGGTTGGGGGACAGGAGAGAAACTGAGTCCCTCAGCTGAAACTCTGGCTGGTCCCACCCGACTCCAAGACATTAATTTTTGTCTGGTTGTGCTCTGGTTGATGACAAGGCCTCCTGCCCCAAACACAGGCTGGAGTTGGACATATGACACTTGTCCTGGAAAAGGGCCTCAGTTGCTGCTGCTGCTGTCCTCACTATCCGAATACGCACCCAGCTGGCTCAGAGAGGAGCTGCCGGGCGTCCTGGGTGCAGGGTCTGCGGCTTTCCCGTTCTTCACAGTGCCCAGTGTGGGTGCCGGCTGGCCCTGTGGGGTGCTGCGATCCAGGGCTGTTTTCTTCACCACCACGAGGCCTGAGAGCTGGGGCTTGCTGCCAAGGGTGCCCACACTCCGCTCCCAGCTCTCCATCTTCCTCTTCGCCTTCGGGCCTTCGTCCAGGATTGCTGTGGGGTTGGGGCTGGGGTTGGGCAGGACGGCCAGCTGGGGCGGGGCAGGAGCAGCA